CGTCCCGGGTCCAAGAAACCTCAAAGCTAAGACGCTCTCTCGCGACAGTTTACTTCCCCAGAGGTTATTCCCATTAAGGAGGAGATCCTTCCTAAGGGCGTGGTGGTGGGGGCAGCTGTCTGGGGAATAGAACGTTTGGTCAAGCGCTCTTTAGCCCACGCTATTACCCCTCGTCTTTGTCCCAGGGGTCTTCTGTTCGTTCCTCCGTCCGCTCGCCTCGCGGTTCTTCAATGGGGTCACTCATCCAAATTATTTGCCCATCCCGGCGTTAGGGGCACCATCGCCGCCATCCGTCAAAGATTCTGGTGGCCCTCTCGTGAGCGCGACGTCCGTCGTTTTGTCGCTTCGTGTACGGTATGCGCCCAGACTAAGTCGGGTAATTCGCCTCCGGCCGGGCTACTGCGTCCTCTCCCGTTACCGTTCCGTCCTTGGTCACATATTGCTTTGGATTTTATCACGGGTCTTCCCTCCTCCCAGGGGAACACCGTGATACTGACCGTCGTTGATCGCTTTTCTAAGACCGCTCGCTTTATTCCGTTACCCAAGCTCCCATCTGCTAGGGAGACGGCCCAGATTATCGTCGACCAGGTTTTTAAGATCCACGGTCTTCCCTCTGACGTCGTATCTGATAGGGGTTCCCAATTCTCTTCCTTGTTTTGGAAAGAATTTTGCCGTCTTATTGGTGCGTCGGCCAGTCTCTCCTCCGGGTTTCACCCACAAACTAACGGTCAAGCGGAACGTGCCAACCAGACCATCGGTCGCATCCTTCGTAGTCTCGCCTTTCGCAATCCGGTTTCGTGGTCAGAACAGCTTTCCTGGGCAGAATACGCTTTCAATTCTGCTCCATCCTCTGCCACGGGTTTATCTCCGTTTCAATGCTGTCTCGGATACCAGCCTCCACTCTTTTCGTCTCAGGAGACTGAATCTAAGGTGCCGTCCGTTCAAGCCTTCATTCAACGTGCTAAGCGTACTTGGAGAGAGGTTAGGTCCGCTTTAGTTAAGTCTCGTTCTCGTACCCGGCGGGCCGCTAATAGACGTCGGGTCAAGAGTCCCCGTTATTCTGTGGGTCAGAGAGTTTGGTTATCTACCCTTAATCTTCCTCTCCAGTCCACGTCTCGCAAGCTGGCCCCTAAATTCATCGGGCCTTTCCGTATTCTTAAGATACTCAGTCCTGTCTCTGTTCGTCTCAAGTTGTCTGCCAATCTTCGGCGCGTCCACCCGGTCTTTCACGTGTCATGTATTAAACCCGTCATTCGTGCCCCCCCTCGGCCTGTCACTCCTCCTGTCCGCGTCGAGGGCGCTCCCGTCTATAGGGTTCGCAGACTTCTCGATGTTCGCCCCCGGGGTCGTGGTTATCAATTTCTGGTCGATTGGGAGGGATACGGTCCGGAGGAGAGATGTTGGATTCCATCCCGGGACGTCCTGGACCGCTCGCTGATTGATGACTTCTATCGCTCACGCCAGTCCTCCTCTGTTGCGCCAGGAGGCGCTCCTTGAGGGGAGGGTACTGTCATGATCCTGGCTCTTTCTTTCTTTCTCTCTTCCTTCTCTGCCCCCTTCTGGTCACTATCTTACATTACATTACTTGCATCACTCATTCATTATCCCGGTCACCTCCAGCTGTGGCTCATCCTCTCATTACCTCCCCGTTACCTTCCCAACTGTTTCTCACTATCTCTGATTAGACTCTCTATTTCATGGCTTCTCTCTTATTGTTCTTTGTCAGATTATTGCTCTATGTTACGTACCTGTGCATATCGCTCCTGATCCTGTCGTGTCGTGTCCTGTCTGGTTCAAGCTGTTCTGTTCTCTGTATTACCTCGACTCTACTCTGCTACACTTCCAGCATCGTGAGTGGTTCAGGATTGGCGTTCCCGTGCCTCTACGGACCCAGCCTGTCTCGCCCTCTGAGTGACCGTCCGTGCTGATCCAGACGGCAGTTATCTGTTCTGTTATTAAGAGACTTTCTGTTCCATTACCATTGAGATTCCATTGTTGGATTTACTCGCCTTACGGCTCCTGTGTTACTCTTCTGAATATTAAATCACTCATTGACTGTCCTTTGCTTTTGGGTCCTCTTTCTCACACGTGACAATATGTGCTTTCCTGTCATTGTGTTGACTCCCATCTTGTTTCCTGATTATTAGTTATTTTGCCCCACCTGTCCTCCCTCGTTACCTGCCTTTTTTGCTCCCAATTTATTCCCCTTGTTTGTTTTTTGTTTTTGTTTTTTATCAATAAAATAAAGCCCATCAACTCTGCATCGAGTCCTCGCTCTTTTCACCATCACCACACCTGACAGTCAAATTTTAAAAAAAAGAAGAAGAAAAAAGAGCTTCCCCTCTTTGAAAGACCAGCAGCCGCCACTGGTTGGAAGGATTGTTCTGCCTGGTCTATAACGTGGCGCAACATGACATATTTCAGCAGTATGTATTATGCAAGTCACCATGTAATGATCAGTGACATCATCGCTTTGCGGTATAATATCTATATCAGTTGGAATGGTTCCATATGATATAATTAAATCTAGTGTATGATTTAGACGATGAGTGGGACCACTAACGTTTTGTTTGACCCCAAAGGGAAACAAACGCAAACAAACGCAGCCCCTAAAGCATCATTTGTATTATCTATGTCAGTAATTCTCAAAGTGTGGTCCGCGGACCACTAGTGGTCCGCCATCGCCCCCTAGTGGTCCGCGAAAAGATGACCTAAACTAGGCAAGTGTTTACAAAATCGTCACTTTTTCGCACATACCAGTGTGATCAGTCTTCTTGGCTGATCCCTGGAGTGTACGATCACAGCAGTGTGATTAGAACGGTCAGTGCATCACGTCATCAACTGCTAAATTCAAACTTGCTCTCGCGCGCTGGCTGGCGCTAAGCCAGAGACAGACGCACTCAGAGCTGTCATATAACACAACTATTGAGTGTTTTCAATGTTTATTTTAGGTTTCAGACATTTAAATACACATAAGTACTAGCAAAACAATGATTTTGAGTTTGTAAAATACACACTGATGTCTATGGAAGCGGCAATAATCCTTTCAGTTATAATAAGACAACAACACGTTTTATTCATATCAGATACACATTGTGTAAACTTTACATTTGATCCTATTCTCCAAGTTCACCAGCCACTTACTATCATGTATTTCGTGAGAAGTGGAGGAATTGACGTTGTAAATCCAACAGATCAGATTCTCTGAACTGATAAGAAACTAAAAGCTCAACTAACGCGATCGTTATAAAGATGTTTAAACCATGCCAAACCCATCCACTTGCACATATTTGACAATCGGAATATCAGTGTTTCATGTTATAGCTAATACATTTATGAATATTTTTAACAAAAAAGGAAAATTGACACAAAAGCAGATCATTCAGTGCCGTGTTTTGGTTGTGCTGTGTCACATGACAAGCAAAGACGCGTCACCATGGAAACATTAAAGTGGCAAGTTCTAAATAACGGTCGCCTTGAAAAACTCACGCTGGGGGGTCAGTTATAATAGGTGTGTTCGACATCGGCTGCGGCTGGATGCAACCGATCGGCGAGATTAGCCGCGTGCAGGCGGGGAGGAGCTGCAAACGGAGACGTGAAGTCGGACACTTTCTGGTTCCCGTAGTTTGCTGCAATTACGTCAGTCATGGCAGATCACGTGGTGTTTGCTTTCTTTATCGCAGATGAACTGGAAGCGATAGAAATTCCATTATTATTGCATGAAATTGAGCACAATGAGCAACGAAAGTGAGTAAAGGTTAAATGTGTAAGGAGTATCTTTTTAAACAATTTATAGACACATGATCAATTTACTTGTCAAGTTACTACCAATATCTGACAAATGTTGAATAAAACTACTGTATCGATACAGTCTTTACAATTCTGCACTGTAGTCTTTGCAATGTATTACTAATGTAATGGGTGGGTTTTGTAATCAATAGCTACTGTTGCTTGCCTTTTATTAATAATATTAATTATTATTATTTTGGTATAAATAGAAAATTACTCATTCTGACAAAAAATAATGGAGTGTTTCTCAAATTTCAACACTTATCTATACACCAATTATTTCATTAAAATCCCCATTCAACATAAAACACTGATAATAGAAGTTTGACTATACGTGTGTTCAATTAGGCTACATGCATATACTGAGTGCAATTCCTCTTCTTATATAGAATGGTTCCAAAAATAGACAATTTTGTGAAGGATGTTGTCCCTCTCTACAGTCCCTCAGAATTTAGAGGTCATTTCAGGCTCACCAAAGAACAAGTGGAGGTTTGTATTGGTTAATATAAAATTAACAATTACCAGTGTGTTAGCATGTTGTCTTGATAACCTTTTTTTCTACCTTTGCAGGATGTCATTACTATCCTTGGTCCTGTTTATATGAATTCACAACAGACCAAACTTCCACTCACAAACAGTGTTCTTGCCTGCCTTTGGACATTGGCAAATCAGGAGTCATATCGTGGGGTGGCAGATTGATTCAACATGTCAAAATCCACTCTTGCCAAGCATCTCCATGAGTTTTGTTTTAATGTGAACAAATACTTGTCCCACCACATTTCCTGGCCCAGAGGTCAAAGGCTGGAGATGTCAAAGTTAGGGTTTAACGCAGCAGGTTTCCCCAACACAGTATGTGCAGTGGATGGGTGTCACGTTCCTATAATGAGACCCCACTGTGATAATCCCCTAGCATACATGAATAGGAAACAGTTTTATTCTGTAAATTTAACTGGGTTTTGTGACAGTCAGCGACGTTTCTGTCACATCAGTGTGGGTCACCCTGGTAGTTGGCATGATGCCAGAGCATTTCGTTTAACAGAAGTTTGTCGTCTTCTTGAAGAAGATCCTCATTCCCTTGTTCCACCGGGAATGCACATAATTGGGGATTCTGCCTACCCTTTGTTGCCTCAACTTATGAGGCCTTTTAGAGACAATGGCCACTTGTCTGCTAGGCAAAGAAACTTTAACAGAAAGCTCAATGCAGCGCGTGTGGTCATTGAGCATGCATTTGGCATTCTAAAATCTAAGTTTAGGAGGCTCCATTGCCTGCAAATGAGAAGCATTTCTAATATCAGTTCAGCAGTCTCAGCATGCTGCATTTTGCATAATCTTTGTTTAGAGCCCAGTGATCAAGTTGCTGTGGTAGATGATGGTGTTGATGATGAACCACACCACCAGCAACCCCACAACACTAATGCATGTCATCGTAGAGACCAGATTTGTGGCCAGATCTGATAAATGTATACTGAACATACAAAAAATTCAACAAATAATAAAAGAAACAGATTTTGTGTTGAAATAAAGACATTTATTTGTTGAACATGATTAGTTTCTCATTTGAAATGGTGTTCTTTGGGGGGGGGGGGGAAGAAACATTTTGGGGAAAGCTGCAAATCAAGAGAAAAAAAAAATCTTTAAATTATTGACGTTCATGTGGGTTCTGTAATAAATGCATGATTTGCTCTTGTCTTTTCCCCATTTTCTTTAGCTCCTCAACAATTGTTCCCAAGCTGGTCAACATCTTTTTTTCAAAGGACCTTCTGCGCCTCTCCTTAAGTCGCCGCCATCTCTCCAGATCTGGCCTTACCAGGGACTCAAGCACAGCAGTCCTTCTCTCGGCATGCTCTTCATAAGCCTCCAGAAATTGTAAGGGTTGTTGTGATCGTCTTTGCCTGCTTGTATTTGGTATGGTAGAGGTTCCGGACTGTTCATCTATACTAGCCCCTGCTGGCTGGTCTTGGGAAGATGATGTGGGCCTACTTTTGGAGGAGGTCTCTTCCAAACCCAGAGGTGTGGAGTGAATGGTGCCTGGTAATGCGGTACCGATTCCCGATGACCCAAACAACTCATCCATTAGCTGGTGGGGGTGAATTTCAAATGTAAAAAAATAAATAAATAAATCAAAAAATAAAAATAAATAAATCAATGTTTCATGCAAGACTAGAAAATGTTATTTCAGAAACAAAGTAAAGCAGTCTTCAACTTACTGTATAGTACTCCCAGGTGATCTTCCCCTCCCCAGTTGCACGGCGCCTGTCTTTTACCCTTTTATAAGTGGTCAACATGTTTGCTAGTTTTTTCCTAATTTTCTCACTGGATAAGTTGTAGCCCTTTTGTGAGAAGGAGTTTTGCAATTTTTTATAGAAAGCCATTTTGTTCCTAAAATAAAGTTGCTGATGGGTTTTTGTAAGGTCCAGTAGAAATAGTGTCATTTGATGTGTTATTTCTGTAAAATGGAGGGGATAAGGAGATCAATAGATTAACACTACAAAACAAAGAAAAATGTAAATTAATCACAGCATTTACATTAATCTTCCTTATATTATTTGATGAAATACCTTGAGATTCATGCCTGTCTGACTGGAAGGAGGGGGATGAAGGTTGAATGGATTCTGAAGGGTTTCCACACATTGCACCAGGTTGCAGAGTGGCAGGCGGTGGGTACTTGACAGTGGAGGTAAGTAGTACAGGGGGCCTAGTGGGGCACTGGCTGGTTGATGGTGGTACAGGGGGCCTAGTGAGGCACTGGCTGGTTGATGGTGGTACAGGGGGCCTAGTGAGGCACTGGCTGGTTGATGGTGGTACAGGGGGCCTAGTGAGGCACTGGCTGGTTGATGGTGGTACAGGGGGCCTAGTGAGGCACTGGCTGGTTGATGGTGGTACAGGGGGCCTAGTGAGGCACTGGCTGGTTGATGGTGGTACAGGGGGCCTAGTGAGGCACTGGCTGGTTGATGGTGGTACAGGGGGCCTAGTGGGGCACTGGCTGGTTGATGGTGGTACAGGGGGCCTAGTGGGGCACTGGCTGGTTGATGGTTTCACAAAACTGAGGTTTAGGGGTACCGGTGACCTAGTGAGACATGGAATAGGAGGTTGGAGGAGCTTTGCAGCAGAAGCTGGGCCACTGAGGAGAGCTGTTTGGAGAGAAGATGTGGTCAGTGTCACCCAAGAAATAATTCCAGTATATTCTTGTTCATTTAGTAAATGTGTACCTTTTGTTTCAACAGCTGATACTTGCTCCATGACTGAAGATAGGAACAATTGATCTGGGGGAATAAATTATAATTAAAACACTTGCACAAATCATTGGTGACTTGTAATTATTTCACAGTTATGCAGTTTACTTACCATTTTGCATCCTTTCAGCAATGTCCTTGGAAACTGTTAGCATGACAACATTACCTTTGCTGTCTAACACATTAATGGTTACATTGTCCATTTTGTAGTGTGTTGCAGGGTAATCCAGGTTATTTATATATCCCAAGGAACCATGGGACCATAGCCAACACCTGTTGCATTCATTATTACTAATAGTTAGCAACAAATGCAATGACCCTTTTAAGTCAACCAGTTTTGGCTCAACATTAATTAGTAGTGATTTCCATTGTTTTTGTGATTTAGTGATTTTGAGTAACTTTATGTATTTACCAAGGTATTAAAACACTTTTGAGATGTGTGTTTAAGTGGTGTTTTGGACAAGATAACATATAAATTAGCAGTTTGACATGGGTGTTTCTGCTAATGCAAAATGATAAAAGTTACCTTAAAAAAATATATATATATTCCCTTTTTTTAAAGGTTTAGCAACATGATTTACAGTACCCTTCAGCTGAGCTCTTTTTAACATTTGAGACAAAACATCATTCATTTTCGTATACAAAAATACAAACAAACACATTTCATAAGTTGAATATACAGCAAGTTGTTAGCAGTTTGTTAACCACATGCAGGTGAAGTATAAACACAGCAAAATAAACTAGAGAATATGAAGAAACCATATGAACAAATGGAGGAACATGATGTATTATGTATCATTTATATAAAAGCATACATTTAGAACCACATAAGATTGTATGTTTTACAAAAAATGATTAACTTAAAAAGATTAAAATTTGAGTTATTAAAAAAAGCTCATTTGAATAGGTTATGCAGCTGAATAGGCTACTGTAAAAGGTTTGTATGAAAAATAATGCCAAATAAACATACAAAAACCCTATTGGCTTTTAACAATAAAGTGAGTACAGTAAAACAATATTTCATAAATATGATTTATAAGATAAACTGTTTTAAAAGTCCATATATGAGAATTTCTTGAGCTGAATTCGTCGCAATAAACTTGAAACGCACGTCATCAGTGTTGTCAGTGAATCCGGCCAATCGTGGATCAGTTGTGTCGTCATCAGAACCTGTGCAGCCGCTCTTGAGAATCTGCGCTGGCTGAATCCTGCGGCTGCTCTCGTATCGCTCTCGCGGTACTTCGATAGCATACGTCACAGTCACGTGGAGTCAGCGCTGCATCAAGTCGGACAAAATTTCTAACCGGCATGCACTGTTTCAAGTCAGCCGACGATCGGTCTGCGCAGAGCTGCATGAAGTCGAACAAGCCTAATATTTTAAACTTACGTAAGGAACCTCATGTGACGTCATCGCCGAGTCGCGTGAAAAATAACTGTCACTAAACAAAAACTACAAAAACGGGACTTTAACACCATTTTTGAGATATTTCTAACTTTATATACATATCTTAACTGCTTTATGTATCCATTAATCGACAGTAGTGTTTAACCTGCACCATGGCCTTTAAACTTACGTGTGAAAGGGTTAATAAACTTAATTACCAAGCTTAGCTTTCAGTAAATAAAAAAATTATTCATAGGCAAAATCAACCTATATCAGTTGACTCTATGTTTACTTTCTTCACTGACAGAAAAATGAAAAGCCTATTTCAGTCAAAGCTCAGTTAGGAGTTACATTTAAAATTAAATTTAGCTTATCCTTACAATTTTTTTTTTTTTTGGGGGGGGGGGGGGCGTGTTAGAGTGGGATTTTGTTAGGTGGTCCTCAGAAAAAAAATGGAAGATAAAGTGGTCCTTGGGCTGAAAAAGTTTGAGAAACACTGATCTATGTGTATGTTAAAATCTCCAGCAATTATTGCTTTATCGACATTCACCAATAGATCCGAGAGAAAGTCTGCAAACTCTTTTAGGAATTCAGCATATTTGACATTTTTATTAAAGAGGAATAGCCCCTTGAGATGAGCCATCTCGTTTTCGAGGGGGTCCTCGATTCTAGATTCAAATAAAACAAAAAATTGACCTTACAGCAGCTTGAATTTAACATAACAAATAGCAAAAGCCAAAAAACAAAAACAAAAAACAAATACACAGGAAAAACAAACAAACAAAAAAAAATGCTATGCAGTAGTGCTATACAGCTAAATATATAAGCCAAAACAAAACAAGACATTCATTCATGCAAGACTCCCAAAAGGTGACACACTCCTCCCTAAACAGAGTAAACCATATCATTTCATTTGTACCAAGACAACATCAAAATACAGACAAAAACTATATATGTACCATGCCAAGAAAAAAAGTTACAGTGAGAAATAAATATAATAAAATAAAATAATGCTAATCAAAAGCAATTGCATGTATTCTGAAGATGTTGAGCTAAATGACTTTTAAATATTGGAAAAGAAGTTAAAAAGCGAATTGAAATTGGAAGTTTATTCCAATCATATGGTGCTTTATATTGAAATGCATATCTTCCTATTTCTTTATTGATCTGTGGAGTGTAAAAATAAATTTGGTTATTATGACGCAAATTATGAGATGACCTAAATGGAGTTAAATATTGTTTTAAAAAAGCAGGGTAATTCATATAAATGCATTTAAAAATAAACTGTAACCAATGAAAACACCTTCTATTGATAAGGTCAGCCAGGACAATTGATGGTACATTTCACAATGGTGTGTTCTGTAGGGGCAGCGGAGTATAAATCTACATAGGCTATTGTAAACTATATTAAGAGACTGAAGACAAGAGGCAGTAGTGTTTTGGTATACAATGTCAGCATAATCCAAGATTGGCAATAGAAGTTGAGAAACGATTCTTTTTCTGACATGATAATTAAAACAGTTAATTGATTGGTATAGGATTCTGAGTGAGCAGTTGAGCTTATTAGTTATATTATGCACATGAGTGCTGAAAGAAAGATCAGAGTCAAGCCACAGGCCAAGATACTTAACCTGGCTAGTATGCTTTATAGGAGTTTTATCCAAAAATAAAATATTTAGTGAGTTTTCTAAAGAATTCTGTTTCATTTTAAAAAGCATTGAAAATGATTTTGATTTGTTAAGTAGAAGCTTATTAGACAATAGCCACCTCTGAACTGAATCAAAACCATTTTGTAATGTAGTGCTGATGTCACATATATTAGATTTAGAACAATAAATGACTGTGTCATCAGCATAAAGCTGAATATTGCATCCAGTACAGCTACGCGGAAGATCATTGATAAATATTGAAAATAATAAAGGCCCCAAAGAGGAGCCTTGAGGAATTCCTCTATCAATGACTGTGAACTGAGACAAACTGCCCCCAAAGGACACACACTGGCGACGATTATGTAAATAAGAATTAAACCAAAGCAAGGAAGAGGTAGACAAACCAAAAGAGTACAATTTGTCTAAAAGTAAATAATGATCCACTAAGTCAAAAGCTTTAGTAAGATCTAGAAACAACGCACCTGTACACATACGATTATCAAAACTCAAGAACACATCATTAGTAAATTTAAGAAGGGCTGTAGTGGTAGAAAAAATGTTTTCTGAATCCAGATTGGCATTGAGATAATAGATCATTATTAGCTAAATAATTCGATAATTGGGTACAAATTATTTTCTCAAAAACTTTTACAACACTGTTTATGATTGAAATTGGTCTGTAGTTATTAATATTATCAGAATCGCCACCTTTATGAAGTGGAATAACTTTTGTGCATTTCCAGGCTAAAGGAACCATACTAGAAGAAAACGATAGATTAAAAAGTAAGGCCAATGGAGCTGCTAATACATGAGAGCCCATTTTAATAAACTTGTTCTCAATGCCATCTAGTCCAGCTCCACTGGTAGATGACAGTTAACTTATAGCCTTTTGCACATCTGCTGGGCTGATCTCTGCAAATGAAAAAGAACTACCTGTATGGGAACAAGGAGCCAGATCTGGTTTAAAAGTATGGCTCTGAACTTGTGGCACTGAAGAAAAATGTAAACTAAAGGCATTTGCAATGGATACTGGATCATCTATCCTTTCATCATTCAAATTCAAAGTGGTTGTAGTCCGCCCTGATTTCCCAAGTACATTATTAACCTGTTTCCAGAATCGTTGTGGGTTTTTGAAATCATTCGATAAACAATTTCTGAAGTAACTAGATTTGGAGTTTCTTGTTTGCATGGTACAATTGTTTCTTAATCGTTTATATTCTTCCCAGTCAGCAGTGTGTTTTGTGCGTCTAAACTTATGCCAGGCCCTATCCCTCTGTTTAAAGAGATTAATAAGGTCACCATTTACCCACGGCAAGTGACTGCCTTTAACTTTAACAGTGGTCCAAGGGGCATGCTTATTTATAACATTCAAGAGCTCAGTATATACAAAATTCCATGCATCATCAATAAATGGAATTAGATTAAGCCTATACCAGTTAATTTGATGCAAATCATTAATAAATTGGTCCCTGTTAAAGAATTTGGTTTGCCTTATCTTAATAAATTTAGGAGGGAGGCGTTGAATCGAAATTTTCCAAATACAATAGATCATGTGGTGATCACTAAAGTTGTCTGGTAAAACCCCAGATTTAATTATTCGTTCCGGGTGAGAAACTAAGGCCCAATCCAAAAGAGATTTAGAGGTAGAAGTCAATCTTGTGGGCTCAGCTATAAGTTGTGTCAAATTTAAACTATTAATCATATTTTTAACAGTAAATGTAGATGAATGAAGCCAATTAATATTAAAGTCACCCAAAAGTATCATTTCTTTATTAGAAACTAAGGAAGAAACAGTAGAAAGAATATTTTTAATTGATTCCACTTTCAATGAGGTAGGCGGTCTGTAAATATTTCCTATAATAATTTGCTTATTTTCATGCAGAGTCATTTTAATGAACAGACCTTCAAAAAGTGCTGGAGTCACAATAGGAACCATAAGCTGAGAATTTAAATGAGATAGTACATAAATGGCTACTCCACCTCCCCTTGTTCCTCTGTCCGATCTAAATAATTTATAGTTGTCTATACTGATATCAGTGTCAGAAATGTTACTGGTAAGCCAAGTTTCAGATAATGCAATAATACTTGGATTATTATAGGATAGCCACGCTCGTAATTGATCAATTTTGGGGAGTAGGCTTCTAATGTTCAGGTGTACTATATAAAGACCTTTACCAATACTTATAGATAAATTATAATATGGTGTAAACTAATAAAGGAATCATGTAGGTACATAGTGAAAAATAGAAACCAAGGGGGGTGAGCACCATGGGAGCCAACAAACACACAACCACATATACATTCTAACAAAACAAATAACAAAAACATGAATAGATAAACTAAACAAGAGAAAAAAAAATCAAATCTTAGTCAACAAAAAATGCAATCCAGAAAATAATAAATACAATAACCAAAATAAACTAATCACC